ACTAGCAAAATAATCATTGTTTGAATTCATTTTCGCTTGTATTAAAATTTGTCAATAATGATAGTGCTATATTATTTAACATAATTTGAACAGTTTGTTTATTACAGTGAAAAATTTTCTATTATTCTTGACCGATTGATAGACAAAGAATTGATGAAATGCGTGAAAGATTAGGCCCCCTATCGTGAACTTTGAGATATCTCTTCGTTAAAAGGTCAGGGATAAACATGGAACATTCAAAGCAATCATCATACAAGATGATGCTTTCCTCTTCTTCACAATAAATGATTATTTATGAATCGTTATGCTAATTTGTCCTGTAGCCGCCCTTATGCTTCTTCTATTTATTCCGGATAACAGCGGTAATTGGTTTGATTGAATTTGAACATCATGGCTTAAAATAAGTTAAAATTTATTGAATTATTGCAAAATTTTTGTCCATTTTATTTCGAATATTTTGAAAGCAGAAAAAATTATTTTGAAAAAAATGAAATGAATAATACTTATAATGATGATTCTGCCAAGGTAGATGTGATGCATAAAAGTGATGATTGTTGACTATTAGTATGTAATCAATTCAAATGATGGAATATTCCAATAATGTCTTTTTTTTTCAAAAATAAATGCTATTTTTTAATTTATTAACTAAAAATATGATATAACGTGGTTTTTGAAATTGTAATTCTTATTTTAAAAAAATAAAAATAAGCATAGTACTATAAAGAATTCATGTCTACCAATAATCTTGCTAACGTTCGAACATATATACTGACACTTATGTTCACGTTACGTTTATGATAAACATATTAAAAATAAACAACAAACGTGTAAATTATGCAAATGAGTACAAACTGATGACGTGCACTAAGTGCATTCAATCAATTGCAAGAACAGAATTTCCGCAGCGGAAATTTTTTTACATTAATCATAATAATTGCCGTAAAATGAATAAATTCATTTGTGAACTTCTGTCTAAAATGTAGTCGTATCATTTATCCATACTATTTAAAACTCAAATTCTTTTTTTTTTTATAGCCATAATAAAGCAAATGCAAAAGCTATGCTACAACAATCCGTTTAATCCATCAGTTTGATGCGACAATTTAAAAATTGTCATTGATTTCCAACTGACAACCAATTATCATTTCAATTCGTAAGTAATGATATTTATACACAAATAACAATTACTATTTCATCAATTATTTTATCCGAATATTTCATGTCGAAAATGATTTATTTGCTTATATCAACTGTCCTTTTTTTTTTCACTCTGATATTCAGTTTTTTCATGTTCCTCTTTTCTTTCATTTTTCATCTCTCATTTATTAGTAATTAGCAATTTTTTGATAAATATTAAATTAAAATTAATCATTTCGTTTCTTCTTTCTTTACCACGCAAAATTACAAACTATTTTTTAGCAATTTTATTCAATAAAAGAAATGTCATTGTGAATAAACGAATTTAAAATTGGCTAAACATGATTAATCAAAGAACAGCAAATGAAGTGTGTATGACTAGCATGGATATTGCACAAAAGAACATTTAAACTTTTTCATTTGTTTCTTTTCTAGCTAAACAAATACTTTCAAAGTGCTTCGTAAAATCTTCTTTTGTTTAGTTTTCCTGTCCTCTTCCACTTCAATTGTCATCATATGAAAATCATTCGTATTATGGAAGGCACTCATTAAGATGACAACAACAATAACAAGCAATGAGGCAATGCTAGTTATTACAATAATAATAACACTCTATTCATCAATAAACAATACAACAATAGTCCAGAAATGAATGCATACAATGCTTAATAAATAAACAAACAAATAAACAAACAAATTGGTTTGCTATACAAATAAACATGTCAATTTGATGAATAAAAATAAACAAACATATTGAATTCAGTAAAATTCCACTGATTGTATTTCAGAAATGATTTCATTAATCAACGAAAAATCGACCAATGTTTACAATTACTGGAATTATTAGATACCGCAAATAATCCTTCGTTCATTCCTAAAATGATCCAAATAAAATATGAAAAATTAATTACACAGTTGACATTCGCAATTATCATCATTATATTATCATAAGAATTAAATGAAGAAATTTAAATTAAGCAAGTCAAGATTAATACAAATATAAATAACAAAAAACAAACATTTGAAACTACTGATTGCAATATTTGAATATTTAAACATAAAATAGCAGGAATGATTTGTAATCTGATAAATGATCATAGACTACTGTAATCATCTGACGAATCAATCATTATCAATTCCATCTTTTAATATTATTGCTAATATTACTAACAGTTTCATTTATGTACCATGATCATAAAAACGAGACTTCATTACTCATGATTAAGGGCAGCTGTTGCTATTAAACAAGATAATTAAATCAAACATTCAGCTTTATTCGAAAATAAGCCTTATTACAACTAATATAGTTAACAACAGAACAAAAAAAAAAGCAACAAATAAAAGTGAGCGTCAAATTTTCTTTTTCATAAAAAAAAAATTTCATTTTATTTGAAAATTGGAAGGAAATAGCACTTGTAGTGAATGTGATTGGTTTACTTCCGCTTTAAAGCTTCACGTTTTTCTTTCATGTTATCTGTTGTTTGCTTTAACAATTATTTGAAAATACAATTTACTCATTCAATTCCTTCTTTTCCTCTCCTCTTCCCATTATCCTATTTGTCAACGAGCAATCAAAAAGCCCACATTTTGATTTAATTTTCTTCAAGCGTAGCATATAGCATACAACATACACTTACAAATCTCAACAATAACGTTCAGAGACAAATTTATTTTGGTATGTAATGGTTTATATAATAACGGCTTTTATATGTAAATATCTGACATTTATTTCATTTCAACAAAGCACACATACACACATACACACACATCGAATCTTTAATACTAGAAATTAGTAGAGAATTACTTAAAAAAAAAAATTAAATTCTTAAAAGGATGAAATTGCTAAAAAACAAAAATTCAGTATTTGCAAGTATCAGTAGTTCATTTTCTTATGCTTATGTGATAATCACTGGATAGATGATTATCACATAAACATAAGAAAATGAACTACTGATCACTGGATTTCTTATGGCTTATGTGATAATCATTGGATGGATATCACCAATCATGGAATTTCAATTATCTTATTGTTGTTGGATTATAACATCATAATAGGCATTAATTACAATTATCATTATTATTAAAATAAATTTTACCCAATGAAATTTACCTTTCAAATATCCCAGAAACAGTATATCCAACATTTTACATTTGATAGACTTCGTAATTTTTGAATTTGTTCGATCTAAATGCAATTTTTATGATTTTTCAACTGAAAGTATGATAGAAAAGTTTTGTTATTGACATCTGTGATTGTCAATACTTGACTATGTAAATAAAAGAAACCATTAAAGGATTGTGCAAATTTTCGAATGACCACTATTGCTATCAATCAATTTGTACGGTTGCTAATTGCGCAAGAAAAAATATGTAGCTAAATCTCCTTGAAATATTTCTACTGCCGGTAATTATTTGATGGCCTAAGCAGAGAGATCCTGTTGTATGATATTATCATGAAATAACTTCAATATTTTCTCATAATACCATTTCTGTTACTGTTTAATCAAGCAATGGTAATTTGACTACCACTTGAAAGGAGGAAAATGATACCACTGAGATGATGATGCAAATAGGTAGGTGCTATCACTTACACAACAATCATTTACGGTCTCTTCAAAAATCTGTATTATAGTATTCCAAATGCTTATGTATCGATGTAGACTACATTACAGTTCTGGCCTTTAAACTATCAAATTTCATTGTATTAACAACTTGCAGTACAAAACAAATATCAACGACGATATCTTCAAATGACTCTGAGAAAGCATTACTCAATCAGCGTATACCTGAAAGTTTTTTATTCACACTTTATTGTCTTTCCCATCTCGAAATCCAACGAGTTCTAAAATTTACGAGAAACATTATGAAACTTATCGACGGATTACAAAGAAGTGCTGCAACAATTAAGAACGTCGGTTACTTCATTTCAGATAGAAAATCCTAAGCTTTTTCAAGAAGAAACACAAATATACGCTTTATTAGAAATTTCTTCTGACTTAGATTTAACAAGACTATTAATAACATCACGTTTGGAAAATGCAAGAAAACTAAATGAGCTTATCACAAATTTGATAAATTGTTCAGAAAAAATGCAAATTACTCAAATGATTTTGTAATAAATAAGTACAAAGATAATTTAAAACATTCTTTCAAATACAAAATGCATTAAATGGTAAGAAATAAAAATTGATATGGGGTGTTATCACCTTTCAAAATAATAAAAATCACTTATTTATCTATTTAACAAAATTTCCTTATCCCTTCATTTCGAAAATATTTCCTGATAATAGTAAGGTAATCATCCTTAAAATTCAAAGAGAGAAAGCGAATAAAACACAATATCGAAAACGCAACTACTGATTCAAAAAAAAAAAAAATAGAAATCATTTTTTTTCAGGCTAGGAATTCAACTCCAATAACACGTCCTTCAACGGTAGTATTTTGAAGAGATTTACGGGCACGTTCCGCGTCTGTAGCTACAGTAAAGGTAACTTTAGCACACCCTGGTGCAATCATTTCTGTCAAATCTACTGGACCAAATTGCTGAACACGATCACGCACAATCTGCCACGTGTAATCCAAAGGAAGCTGAAAGCAGTGGTTGTGATATGCTACTAATTGTCGATGATAGTCTCATTTTTGATATATTTCATACACAACTCAATGAAACACAAGAAGAATCACACCAGCACAGTTTGTCGAAAATCGAAATGTTGAAGTTACAGCAACAATAACCGAAATATTACAATGTCCAATCAAACCATCATCTGGCAAAAGGAAGAACTCACATTTTTGATTATAATCGATCGCGAACCGCCGAAACCACTAACACTACCAAATGTAGAATAAGCAGAGCTGGGAACTGAGAGAGATGCAGATGGTGATGTATAAGTGGACGAAAATGGCATAACCGAAGAAATGCTACTTGGCTGAAGGCCAGATACTGGACCACCTTGATAAGCGGACTGACTGGTATACGGCGTAGATGTGCTATCATAGGAATTATGGGATGTTGTCGAGGAAGTGAGTGATGAAATTATCGAAGAAACATCACCCAATGGTGCTCCATTTGCACCCAAGCCCATGCCAACTCCACGTAAACCCACAGGCAATTCACCTTCTTTTCGGTCATCAATCGGATCAAATTTATCCATTTTGACATTGATTTGACGATCAAAAACACGCTGATTGTTCAGCATTGAAATAGCTTGCACTGCTTCGATCGGATGAGTAAACTGTACGACGGCCATACCTTTACTGCGGCCTTCTTTGTCTAATTGAAGATCAACCCATGTAACTTTACCGGCCAGTGAGAAATAATCTGTCACTCGTCCACTTTGTACGTTGTACGGGAGCTAAATTTCAATATTTCTTTGACAATACTAAAAACACAAAGCAAAGTTATATATGACTTCGAAAATTTGAACTCTGAAGTGCAGGATGAGAATCCAAAGTACGATGCGAACCTATATGTGGAAAGCGCTATCAAATAACACGTGAAACTAACGTTCGAAACAAAAACACGATTGGTCAGTGGCCCTGTAATATGAAGTTGTCGCAGAAATGCCGGACTAAGGCCATATGTTTCAAACTGCTCTTCCTGACGGTTACGAGTATCCAAACTTGCTGTAGCAGTTCCGCCATGAAGACCGTTTAAAAAATCAACACCTGTGTCTTCCTTAACTTTTCGGAAAAATGCAACAGGATCCTGAACATATGTTCATTTCAAAAATTTGTGAGACGAACAAGAATCAACAACCTATAGAAAGTACGCAGTAAATAATAAATCAACTGCTTCATAAAGTTTTAAATGAGAGACAATTATTGATTATTACTTAACATCCTGACTCCATGAAAAGGACTCAATAAAATACCAGAAAAAGAAAGGACCAATAACGACAGTTTAAGTTTAATGAACTGATCGATTACTGATCAAGTGAAAACGGAGGAATAGTTTAGTTAAGATTAACGACCGCAATATGTTTTTAGGAAATAAGCACTACGAGACTAGAAAGAGAAACAAAAAGAAATCGAAAAAAATTAAAACTTGTATCATTTTATCCTTTACAAGAAAGTAACAAACTAAGGTTACGGAAGTAATAACGTGTATATAAAGCGATGTATATAAAGCGATATTTTTCATCCTTTGCAGCATCTAATTTTATTGGTGTTATCCACCAATAAAATTAGATGCTGCAAAGGATGAAAAATTGAAATGAATTAAGAACTACGTATTAGTCACAAAATATTTACTCGAATTTCCTTTGCTGTAAGCAAACGATCATTCATTGGATAACGGTGCAAAGCATCGACACAACGCTGAACTGATTCTTTTTCTCGAAACTCAACAACTGCTGCACCTTTCGATTTCCCTTTACGGTCTTCCAAAAGCTCCACAAAATTAACCTAAATGATAAATTAGCATTTTAAATTCCTTCGGAGATGAGAGTCTTTTCTCAGTGCATTTCTTCAATTTACCTGACTTATGGCATATGAAAGCGACCTCATAACGTGCAATAATTCAGTGAATAATAGTATGCAGTATCCTTTTTCAAAAGATTAAAGCAAGCCGAAAAGATACGCTGGTTTATTAGCTTGATCACCAGAACTATCGACTACCCAAACAAGTAAGTTAAACTTGTCCTTATGACCGATTTAAGAACTTCTCGAAAGATCGTATGTGTGACCGTATCCAGCACAATCACGTCATCAACGAGTGAAACGTGCTCTATTGAATGATTGAACTACCCCGTTCTTTAATAGGAGGTATCCTTTATATATTACAAGAAAGAATAGTTTATTGCAAGAAAAAGACAAGTCCAACCAGACGATATCATTCAACAAAATCAGGAAAACGGATATTTAGGTAAATTCGAAACTAATCAAAAACCCAATAATTTCAATCTCACGAGTCTCGAAAAAATCAAACTAGGAAACATCGATAAAAGCCTTTAAATATATTTCTGTCACATTTCCATGCATGTTATCAGCTGCATTTACGTGCGCAACCATAATCAAAATAGTACCTCTGGACACAGCAGCAAATAGTGTGAAAATCTAAAAAAGTCAAAGTCAAGCTAGAAAACAGATCATACCTCACCAGCTTTTTCTCGAACCAAATCTTTTAGTTCCATCCAACGTACGTCATATGGAATATTTGCGATGTAGACCATTCGGTCATTACGTACGCCACCGGCGCCGCCTCGACGACCATCTAAATTTGTTCCAGAAAATGTCCAAGTAACCGTCTCATAGATTTATGAGTGAAACAATGTCAAATGGGAAGCGTGACCGAAGGTTTCAAAGATGAAAAAGCAACTATCCAGAAATTTGATGAATCAATTACTAATTTATGAGCACAAAAAAAGAATTTCAGGATCAAAGAACTACATCATCGTACTGTCAACACTTGACTATAAAATCCGTCCCAGAAGAGGATCATCCGAAGTTATGATACTTTTCTAGACAAATAAATTTCAAATTTTTCTTTTGATAATGCAGATTGAAAACGAGAAATGCCGAATGTGAAAGAATGGAGACCACGTAATCTACGCCGCTATGACCATAAGGAGGATAAAATAGTGATCCAACGGTGAATCAAATGGTCGTGCAACGCATGTAACTCAATTTTGGCGATGACTACTTAATAACACTGCAAATACTGCGCAAATCTCAGGACAAGAAAAATTCTCGAAATGGTTCTTAGTACACTGTAGACTTTCCACTAATTAAATATTAAATTTGTAAATATATTTACGAAAAAAGATGCGATAGCGCAGAAAGTAACTTCGATTTTGAAATTCAATCAAACAGAGAACCTGCACTCTCTAATATCACCTCTCAAATCTAATTTAAAATCCCACACATACAAAATTCATAAACTTACCTCTATCTCGGAGTCTTCGTGGACTACGTTCACGACTGCCCATACGTCGTTGACCACCTATCGTCCGATCAGCACCACTTTCACGTCGTGACCAACGTTCACTACCACCACTACCATTTCCAGTACCACCACCGCCACTTTCAGCATCATTATTCGATCGCCAACGTTCATTACCCGAGCTTTCACTTTTTACACGCCATCGATCACCTGCTCCTGCATCTTTAAATGAGCTCGGCGGTGAGAAATCTCGGTCTAAAAGCGAGGAAGCCATTCTCCTAAACAAACAAGCAGTCATAAATGTTTGGTCACAAAAAGTATACAGGTTAGGAGTAACAGATCAATGGAAAAATCCACTTTATCTCCTCAATAAATCCCTATGATGGGATTCATCGATCAACAAAGAGTAGAAGTTTCGTAGATGAAATGACGTACGTCAAATATCAATCAAGAAAATTTGTCACGCTTAACATTACGTATGAAATAATTCAGCAGAATGACATAGCATAGCACGCTGCAACCTCACGTTACGGTAGATGAATTAGCAAAACAACATTCCTAACCCCTCACATATCACCAATCAAAATCATATCCGATGAAATCAATTCAGACTCAATCGCAACTTGGCCCTTTTTCAATTGACTTGAAAAGGGCTGAGTGGCCAAAAGTTGATAAATATTCCGAAGGCAAAGTTTGTTTATTGTCTTTATTTCTCTTTTTTTCCAGTCTGAGACTTTATTTTACTCTTTTTTATTATTATATACTTTTCTTTACTTCGAAATCTCGGGAATAATACATAAATCAGAATCCTCATATTCACTCTGTTTCATTTTGCAAAATTTACGGACTCACTAAGAGGTCATGGAGGTGATATATATGAAGATCATTATTTTACTGCAGTAATCTTATCAATGGCCATCATGCATTCATAAATTGCAATTTGCTGCGTCGTTAACCATGAATTATTCATCCCGACAAAACATTAACGTGTTGCATTTACATCGAATATTATTAGTTTGAATTGATTTGATAAGTTATTTGGTAGTTTAAACTGTTTAAGATTGTTTCATCAGCTGATTGTTTAAATTGAATTAGCTACGTGCAGTATTATGCATTTCAATGAGTTCATTCCAACTAGTCATGCACATATGTTCATATATTAGTTAGCACTGTTAAGAATATGTATTTTTTCTCGGTTAAAAAAATTTCTTGTCGAGTTGGATTTAAAAAAAGTATTCCAATGTCATTGTTCAAAAAACCAACCAAGAAGAAGCAACGTCATTTGCGTCAACGTATAGTCAATGACGATAAAAGCACCGAAGAGGAAGAAGCTGAAATTGCGTAAGCATGTTTTTATGAATGTTCTGTGGGTATCTTTTAGTCATATACATCACATACACTTAATCTTCCCTTTCGTAAACTTATATTTGAAATTGTTTTAGGTTTGAGAGATTTAAAAATGATGCGAAGTAATGTTTTTGATATTTTTATCCAAATGATAAAAGAGTCACAAAAATGTGAGCTAATTGGGAATAGTGCTATAAAGCTGGAGAGTTGCCTATCGCAAGCGACATTTAAAGGGAATTTCATGCTAATATTCATTTTATCATGATTTTATAGCTAGAAAAGAAAATTCAGGTGTAAGCTAGAAGGCGTGAAAGAATTACAAGAAAGTCGTGCACGCAAAAATGGATTGAATGCTGTTGAATGTGCTTTGGGTAAAGAACTCGCAGCGGAATTCATTGCAATGGATGATGATCCATTCCGACAACGTGGCGGAGGCATGCTTCGCTTATCTGAAGGACGCCAAGCTCAAATGTTAATTTTGTAATTCTTTTTCAAAAGAATCCTTGAGCTGCTAAGAGTTTTTTTCACTATTTTATTTTTTCAAAAATTATTTAAAAAATACTTGCTAGCGCCACTATTTATTTTACATATTAAGGCTTGCCATCTGAAGATTGGGGAGAATTCGCCTTAATAAAATGATGATAGTTGCAAGGATATTAAGCACAATGAGCGAGACTGACAATAGTCGCATTTTGAGGAATTAATAAATGATTTAAAGCTATTCCCTCCTTAATTTTATAGACATGCGGCAGATATCGAAGCTGGCATACGTGATCAATTCAAGAAGGAAAGTTTTCTAAGAGATGAACATGAAGAGATGTAAGTTTGTTCCAAGATATTGTAGTTTAAGCGAGGATTGATTAATAGAAAAATCAATTAAGCTTCATCCGAACCTTCCAGATATTGAGTGTAATTCGCGTTTCACTGTTAGTACAACTGTATTTTGAAGTCTCCTGTTATATGATTGTCTTAAGGAAATCTATTAACCTTTCCTAGACTTTTTTAATAATGTTTTGTTTTTTAAACTACCATGGCAAAGTGTACTTTTTTTGAATTTTATTAAGTTCTGACTTCATAATGACTAGTTTCTTTTTTGAATTATTATTTTAAAAAAAATAGTGCTGCTTTAAGATTCTGATGGATTCTGGCTATATTTTGTTCTATTTTTGCAGGAAAAAATATGTGCAAGCGGAATTACGCAAACGAAAAGCAGTACAAGACTTAGAAGATGATGATGCAACGACGGTAGCTTTTTTATAATAATAATAATAATGAATGAATGAAAATACTCACACATGCAAACTTTACTAGGTGTAGTAGATGTTTGCAGAAAAGAACTGAGAATTTATTTTTAATAATAAAATGAACTTCATAAATTTATTATATTTCGTTGCAGTCCAAAGTGCCAAGTATGGAAGATTCCCTTATGTGGAAAGCAGCGGAAAAAGTTCGTCTTTTCCAGAGTGAACGTAATGATGAACTATTATCTAACCAAATGCTTGCTGGTATTCCCGAAGTGGACTTAGGCATTAAGTAATCTTTTTGTTATGTTCATGCAGAAACTATCACAATAGTGGGGGAGAGATGTTCTTTAATCATTTAAGTTATGCATTATTGTATCATAAAAGGAACATCGTTTTCATTCTTTTTCTCACCACGTTTCTCGGTCTTCTCTATGTTACTGAATAAAAAAAACTTCATTTATGCCAGAAATCAAGTATTTCTGATTATTGCAGAGTAAAGTTTTATAATAATCTGAAATTTCAGCGCGAGAATGAGTAATATTATTGAAACAGAAAAGAAAAAAAGTGAAATGTTGAAGGAGGTGGTTGAAAAAAGGCGAAATCTTGCTCAAGATAGTTTATTTAGTCAAGATCGTGCAAAAGATTTGGCCAAGGATTACGTACAACATTCTATTTGTGAGCAGTTAATTATTCCATTTTACTCTTCTTACATTTTATAGTTTACTCTTCTTACATTTAGTTCAAGCAGAGATTTCCTAGCATAATTTATATAACTATTTCATAGCTACTATTTTGAATGTTTCATTCTGGTATCACTTTTATATCATCTGTAAAGGACTTTGTCATATTTAAAAATTAATTGAATCCAAGATTTTGCGTAATTCATTATGCTGTTTAGGCTAATATTTTCAGTTTATATGGAATCAACCACACGTCTTGGTCAGGAAGACTGGCGCAAAAAGTTGGAACGGCCTGATACTGAAGTAAGTTAAGTGCCAGTCATTTCACACAGTTTTCTTATATGATACATTGAGGAGATTCAGTATTCATTTGCGGTATCTGTAATTTCTTGGGATATGTTAAAATACCTCTAAAATGCGTTAATTTCAGGCTCAGGTAACACTGACAGATGCGGATAGCTTAAGAGGTGATGCGTCAATACATCGTTTGTGATCAAATTAATAAAAGTTCAATGAAATTCAGAGTAAATGTCAAATAAATTTTTCAGATTTTATGCACATAACATTGGATATAAATTTTGGCGTGTTAAACTTCATGACAATTGATCCTCCAGACAGAATTACATTATATCGAAAATAAATTTCGAATTTTGCATTAATCAGTCAATTTATGAACTTAACTACCGAAAGCACAGCTAACGATTTCCTAGAAAAATCTTATGGTTGATGAGTTAATTAATTGATGGACTTGAGTACCGAAGTGCAGCTTATTTTCAACGGTAGTCATAAACGTCTTAAATTATAGTAATGGGATGTCGTAACTCCACTGTTAAGTCTTTATGGTGTGCTGATGAGAGACTTGTTGCCCCTTCGAAAATTATCGATCGGTTGAACAAGGTCATCGGAAATTTCTATTCTACGATCATTTTATTGATAAAAGTAGGAGACATCTGTGACAGCAATAATTAACATTATTGGAGCGGCGTTGTTTGTTCGATGAATCCAAATTTATAAATGGTAAATATTTCATCTCATCTTTTATATTTCAACAAATTTTTCTCGAAATCTCGAATAGTCCCTTTATTATAACTTAGTATTTGTGTTTCATCTATGCCAAAAATCACAAACATTGGTGAAGACTTCCTAAAATCGAGTATAACAATAGTTTTCAAATTTCGCAATCATTTTTTTCGGCTTTGTATGCTAAATACATGCTAAGTATTGTTGTTATAGGTTAAAAGGTAATTTAAATTGATGGAGAAATCATATGTTGTTTAGCTGTTTTGAGTTGTTAGATGAACAGATCAGATAAATCGTGTGACTATTATTATTGCCTTTGGATAAACATTTAAAAAAAAGAAAAAACGAAATTATGAGGGAATTCGATTTCTTTTTTTCAGGCTCAATATTTCACCCAACAGCAAATCGAAGGTAAATTATATCAAATTTTTGCAAAAAAAACTAGCTAATTTAATTACCCGTGACAGATAAATTGAAGTTTCCGAGCTATCTCCAACCGTCTTATAATTTCATCCGGCAAGTACCAATGGTTTACGATCACTATTGAATAAGCAATTGCTTTGCAATCGAAATTTAAAACTCAAACAAATATTTTAATCTTGCTTCCAGAATATCGACAATGCTTCACACTATATTGTCCTAAAGGATGTGCACAAAATGCATCACATTTGCGTTATATAATGCGCAGCCTTGGTTACACTCCAACTATACAGGAAACAATACAACATTTCCGTAAATATGGTAATAATTGAAATGATAACATTGTCTGTTCGGATAGTCTGTGTTTCAAAATTTATTATGTCAGTATGACAAATTTTTAACAAATAGTAAATCATTTATCAAAAAAAAAAGAATGAAAGTTCACTAAAAGTATTTCCTAAAGTACTAAATCTGAATGAGATAAATTTTAGGACAAAAACTGGACTTTCCATCCTTTTTGGAAATTTTGCATCAGGAAAATCAGAAAGATGATCCAATACAAGAAATTGTTGGTGCACTTCGTGGAATTGATTCCAAAAAGCAAAATTGGATTACAGTATCTGAGTTCGTTGGTATTTTATCATCAGTTGGTGAGAAAATGTCACGCGAAGAAATTTACAATGTTCTTCAACAATTAGACATTATCGGTGGTCGAGTACCATTCAATTCATTGTTGGATTTCATTTTGAACTTCCGTACTGATAACACTCATTTTTCTGATAATAATCACTGTGATATATATAAACAATGACAAAAACTGATAAACTATCAATAATAGCAGTTCTTCCAACCGATTGTGTTATATTAACAAGGAGGCTCATTAAAAAAAAGTTCTGACAGGACTAAATTTAATCATTTTTCTCAAATCTTATTCTGAACAGAGAAGCTTTCAAAGACGGAAATATGACTCTTCTTAGCTTCTAGTTCTAATCTCGACCGATTTTTTGAAATTTAAGCAATGAAATTTTGAAGGTCTTTTTTTGGAACTTCACTATTCGATTTCAAAAAATTGCTCAACAATCACATATCACTGTTTATTATACTTTAATATCTATTAAAGTATAACCATACATTTCAAATATTTCTTGATAAAGGTGATGGATTAAAATTAGTAGATAACCAGACCAAATGAATCTCATCTCATGACTATTCTTACTGTATTATTTAACCTAATAATAATAAAAATGAATGAGCGATAGTGATGACTTTCAGAGAAGAAATTTTTAAAAATTATACGAGGATTTAATTTTCCTGTGCACTTCATCATTAAACTTTGATGTATCAAACGGAAAAAAGAAGCTAAGATGAAGAAATAACTTTCAAGGACAAATTATAGGTGTGGATGAAATCAAAATTAAGAAATTCCATAAGGGTAACAAGCAAATGTAAATGAATGGAAAAAGAAAACTGCCATATAGAAGATGACTTTTGATGAGGTCCTTTGCTAGGCGTTTTATGTATGCTTCCGTTGGGATGACATCGTAGAGCAAATAGCGGCACAATAAATATACAACGAAAGGATGCAACAGGAAGCCAGATAAAGCTTTTAATTGACAGATAAGTCTGAAATAAATATTTCTAAATTTTAATTCGAATCTAAATGAAACGCCAAAAAAACTTAAGGCAATTCGAAAGGAAAAAGATATTTTCTGGAATATATCTCAAAAAGAATAAACCTATATAAAAAGTACTGTATATTAATTAGATTAACTTAACAATCTGGAATGTCGATGGAGATTTCTTGAAATTTAAAAATTTTTAGTCCTGAAACATAGCAATAATCAAAATTTTCTTTATTTTTTTCATTAAATCTCCAAAAAAAATTGTTGAAATATTTTTTAAAACCATTTCAATCTCTGATGATTATCCGATCCTATTAAAAAAAGAACTTACCGGTTAGAGTGGTCAATTGCTGCAAATAGTATTATTAACGGTACGGCAATTAACGAAATAATATATGCCAGTGAAAAATTCAAAAGTGACAGTGAAGCGAACAAAAGACAGTAATCCAAATAAAAGAGAAATTTCAATGAAATACATTCTTTCTCGTTTCTGAAATCCATTGATATAAATCAACTGGAAATAACAGAACAAAAACTTCTACCGTCCGTAACTTAAAATCAACTACATTTTCACTTTGAATAAGTGAACTAATAAATTAACTTCTTGTATTGTGCAAAAAAGCAGATCAAATAAATAATCAAAACTGATTATCTTATTTTTTCTTATTTATATGGTCTTTAAAAAAAAGAAAACACTTGTACCTACTATTTATTTCATTACGCTGTAAAGTAAGAAGAGTGAATGGCCGAATCCGTCCCATACTTTTTCATATAAATAATATTTCATGTGACAAATTTAGAATTTCGAAAATTTTTGGAAGAAAACTTACAGTGAAAAAAGAAAATACCACGGACTGAAAACGGAAAATGACAGCAAAACTGCATGCATATGATAAAACTGTGATGTAGCAACATTTCTGATAATACAATATTGGACTATTCCAATAACATGAAGAAGAATAAATGCATTTGGAAAATTGAATTCTTCCAAACTAAACCATTCACGAAGTGCCTGAAATAAGTAAGCATTATTTTTCTAAAACACTAGGATTTAATCGATCAGCTCAGGTATAAAAAATCTTAAGTCTTCTTTGATATATTATGTCATTTGACGAATCA